TCATTTGTAGCACTGTGTATTCAGTAACCTCACTGCAGTTGGTACGAATGAGTTTCTATATCTGTCTGTTCTTGCTTTTTCGGAAATGTAAAAAAAAAAAAAAGGAAGAACAGACAGGCATAATGTGGTGAAGCCAGGCACTCGTCAAAATAACCAAATTGAAGAAATCGTTGTTTTTTTGGTTTGTTTGTTTGTTAGTTGCTGTTTTTTTTTGTGGCTTACCACCTTTCATGTCCATTGAAATAACGCATTTCTGTGTGGATTTTACTGAAGAGGGTTGATAAACGGTACGCAAAAATGTAAATTTGTAGTCTTCTTTTAAGAAGCCATTGTAAATTATAAATACAGTGCAGTCGAAAATTCGTGGTGCAACTTATTTTCAAATATCTCTTTAATGGGTGAATCAATGTTATCTATACTTTGCACAGCAGTTTGTATCAATCTGTCTTAACTAAATCATATCAATTCCACAACAACTGAGGCTAGGGTTGGATAAAAAAATGACGGGCTTGCTTTTAAAAGCGATATCGTCCCAGCTGTAAACATTTTAAAATCTGGAGAAACAACCAACTGGGATTTTTTATTAGTAGGCTAATTATCAAGGAATTTTATAGAATACCGCTAAAAGGTGTTTACAAAAATATTTAATCTGTTAAGAGAAATTGATACAAGTCATAGAGCAGAATCTGGGTAGCCTATGTTCGACAGTTGAGGAGGTATTTGGCAATAAGTTGCCCCACAATTTTTTCCGCATTATAGCAGGGTAACCTTTCGATGAATCAAAAGAATCTATCGTCGAGTCATTGTGGGAACAGTGCGCACTGCATGTGAACGAAAGTCTCACTTGTTTACAATGGCGTCTAAGAAGACGGACTTTCCCAAGATTAGATCTAAATGAAACTAAGGAAACACTGAAAATAAAACTACAGTGACTTCAGACTCCTTAATATAACTGTGCACCCTTTAAATGATTCTGAGACACTTATTTTTTTTTTCCAAAGTTAAGTGGTTCGGAAGTTTTAAGCGACCAAACGAATTTTCACAAATATAATATATAGATTTAATACATGTATTATTATCGCAACACAATAAGGTCATATAAGTGCCGAAGATTAGAGGTGTTGCAAGAGAGTAACAAACACAAAAAAGTAGGAGGAGATATCAGGATGATACATAGATGTTTGATAGGAAAGAATGGGCAAACCTCTCCAGAGCACCCGCCACCCACCCACTTTGGCTTCCTCAAATATTTTCAAATCTAAGAACAATGACAAATTATGACAATGACAATCTTTATTCATCTTGCGGGGACAAATTTTGTCATGGTCGTTTACAATGGAAGTGGATGTTACAAAGGTTAGGTGCTCTCACACACACACAACAAGACAGGACATTAGTAAATATACATGTCTCACGTGCTGAAACAACCCGCTCCGTAAAACATGCTCTCTCTCTCTCTCTCTCTCTCTCTCTCTCTCTCTCTCTCTCTCTCTCTCTCTCCCATTTTTTGTAACACTGTGTGTTCAGTAACCTCACTGCAGTTGGTACGAATAAATTTCTATCTATGTCAAAGTTCGTCACTTTGGCCGCCTAAAACTTCCCAACCACTTAACTTTCGAATTTGAAGAAAGAAAGAAAAACCCCGTAGTTCAGAATTATTTAAAGGGTGCACAGTTACATTAAGGAGTCTGATTTCTCTGTAGTTTAAAAGGAGGTGAGGGGGTAGGGGCAGAAAGCGGAGACGAAATGAGACGACAGAACATTGTTAGAAAGCAGGAAAGGAGGTGAAAGGAGACAATTTTAGAGAAGAAATTTTTTTGGTCGTTACCCGGATTCGAATCCGGGACCTTTGAATGAGAGGCGAACACCTTAACCTGTCGGCCACGAGAGCCCCCTTCTGACACTTTGC